GAATAAATGAAACTGGGCAACAACTAATTTTTCCATCTTGGAGACAGACTCGTTGCCGCATACAACGCATTTTGACCACTATTATATTTTTGTTTTTAATAGGGACCACAAAGTTTAAGAATAATGAACTGCATGATTATTTTAATATGCTTTATGCATCTCTTGTATAATGTATAATGAATTATATAAAAAATAGGTATATAATTACTTGAAAACTTTTTGTGCTTATTTTCTAATAAGTGAAGTCTCAGTGGACAAACTAAACCAATGTACCAATAGTGCCCCATCTGTCAAAGTTAAAGTGTTCATTAAAAATCTTATGATCACTTAAAACAACTAAGGTTACACAATATGTATAGACCACTGAAGTTGTGGTTTATAGTTATCACCCACCAGTTATTAATAATAATAGTATACTTATATTCTATTCATTGATTTTGAAACCACTGTCAAGAAAGTGGTTTTCTTATTTTAATCTCATTTTTGGTTAATACTTAAGATAATGTTACGAATATTGCGTTTTATGAATATATTTTTATGAATATTTTTTCAAGTGTTAAATGATTGATTTAAAAGTAAACTTTTGTTAAATTTGCTTTGAACTTAAAAATGTTTTTATAATTATCTTTTCAATTACCTGTTACGCTTACAGTAGTAAAAGTGTAAATAACTGTCTGTATATACGAGTGCCTAACAAAATATAGCCGCATAATCTTATTTTCCTGCCTGTAAAAGCAGCCCTAAACCTTGACTTTTATGTATTTTTCTCTATTTTAAATAAGGACACTGTTGGTATAAGATTTATATAAGTACATATTAATAAATATTAAATTGACCTTTATCAACTTGTGAAGTATGCGCAATAATATTCTCTAATGCATATTTTAATACCAGTGACTTCTGAAAATTTGCATATTACTAAAAATAAATTGAGGTTCTAGTTTAGCAACGACTTTGAAATTAATGCGCTCAATAGCCTGGCTTCGGTTAACTTCAATATGAAGTACATCGCACGCACCTCAGAAAAATTTTGTCAGATATGCAGATATGCAGATATGCAGATATGCAAATGCACAGGGCAACTTTACCTTGCGGAGCTCCAATCACAGTGGTTATAAGGGAGAGAACATTACATAAACCTAACCTGAAATGAGAAATCTATAAAATTTTTGTTTTATTAAATTTGTTCTGCACTTAGCTTTGTAACTATGACAATTTGTATCAAATGTGCTAAAATCACTCTAAATACCAGCAGTAAAACAATTGGTAAAAGCAATAAAAAAAACGAAAACCAAAACAAAAATATTTGCAGTTCCTAATACTACGAGGGAACGAATCCGGAAAGCATATATTCGTACATATAAACAATTGTTGTGCAAACTGTGGTTAGTCAATGGAACGAACAGAATGAAACATAAATCTACTTAAACATGCCATAGTAACATAAAATCAATATTATGCATTTAAAACATTTTCTTTTTATTTTAATAGATTTTTTTTAAAAGAAAGGAAGCCCATGTACTTACGTGAGCAGGCGTAAGGAGGGTTGCAGGGCAGGGTATTTAAGCTAAGTACCCAAACGCGTTGGTTTTTCATAATTTTATTACATATTATTACATTTTATACATTGAGGTAAAAAACCACTTTTGTTCCAACAAAGATTTAATCTAGCTTTTAAAAGTTTTGAAGTTGATAAAAAAATGTTATGAATTAATCAATTTTATAAAATATAAGCAAAATATATGCTATTATTAATATAGATACTTGTATGGTTTTTTTAATTATTGCAGATATTTTATGAGATTAACAATATTGATGATTAAAATATTACGTAGATGTTATTTAATAATATAGTTCAATCATCTGTCCATGAATAAGTTTCATTTTTATTATAATTCACATACAAAAAAACTAGTAAAAGCTATTAGATTCAATTTAGGTATGCTAACATAATTCACTATTGATTAAGTGTTTTCTTATTTATCGTAATGTCATTTCGCTTAGTGAATCATAAGTCAGTAACGATATTTTCAAGCCTTACTTTGTTGGATGCTTATGTATATAGCTTTTCATGTATATCATGCTTCCGATATATCTTTTGGTATAGTTAATCAGACCGGCTCTTGTTTTATGGCTTTTTTCTATAAGACTTATTATTATTATTATTATTTCCATACTCCATTAGGAGCTTAAGGAGTCTACAAAACTTTTCCACTAGTTTCTATTTTGCGCTATTGCTCTCAAGTCGCTAAACGATTTGCCCGTCTTCTGCTTAACTGACTATAATACTTAAGGATTACACTTCATAATTTTATTAAATTCCTGCTCAATTAAGTAGATTTGTTGATCTATGTTTTTGAATTCATCATGTATGCCATAACATTTACGTTTTATACGTTTTATACGTTTTATATAGAAAATAATTATTTTACTTAATTTCACACAATATTTCTTTTCTTAGATTGTGATATTGTTTCGTTTTTTGCTACGATGGTTTTTATTATTGCTGTAATATATGTATAACTAAATGTATGCCCAAGTATGAATGCGAGTATCATATATTCTACGAAACTTTCAACACTATTGTCATTGTTTTTATTGTTCATGTATGTATACCTGCATGAGTCAATATGAATATAAGAAACCATTGAATTCGGCCCCCTTAAAATTGCTTATAAAGTCCAGATGACCATCTTTTATAATCGAATTCAACAAAAGACAAAGGTATAGTCAGAAGTTCACAAATTTCATTCATTGCTATTTTCGATTGATTAAATTTTAATTCGAGATATTTTAGAAAATATGGGTAAATATAATACTAGCATTTATTGTATTTTTAAACTTGTATTGTATTTGATTCTTTTAAAAAAGGTTTTTTTTTTGTACAAGGCATAAGAAAGCTTGGGATATCTAATGAACTGATTGATTGAGCAAAGTAGAATGCCAAACTTATGTATCATACCTCAATTATTATTAATAGAAGATTGAATAAAGATTATGCGCTATCATATCTTCAAGAACAACTATTCAACATTTAAAAAGGTGATAAAATATGCTAAAATAGAACTGTAAGTTGCAATATTTTTAAAGTTATCGTTAGTTGAATTCTTTACATACTTGTGCAAGATGGAAGCAAAGTTGCCATCAGTTGTTAGGCAGTAGTAGTGACTGAAGCAGATGAGGAAGATTTTTTAGTCAAATTTAATCGTATTATCACATTGAATCATAATTTATTTGAAAATATCAATTTTTCTGATAATGCTCTTTAAGTTAATATAAATTTGATTATTTTATGTTGTTTATTTTGCATATGAATGAGCTTTACGCTCTCATTTTTCTTTACTTCAATCTACTAGTTTTTTGATTTGTAATATAAGTGTGACTGACAATACATTTTTCTGGATTGAAAGTCGATCGAACATTTAAAGTTCAAAATTGCAGTGGTCATTTATTTTGAACACCAATGGACATCTATAGACAAGTTGTTTGTGATTTGTATGAGCATTGCAGACACATTTTAAAATCTTAACTCACAAAAACCAATATAAATGATTGATATAAAGATATAGTACGATCTAGCTAAAAATATTTTAGGCATTGTTTGAAAAAGCGTAGACTACTACTTTAGCTTGTAGAGTTTTAAAAGCTATATGTGTTCTTTTATTATTTTAGACAGTGGGTTCTTAAAAACCTACTAATGCAAAAAAAGGAAAACAGATATATTTTAAAGTATTAGCGGTAGCATTTGCGATACGAAGTCTTAAGCTAATCTATAACTTTATCGCTTATATATTATAAAATCGTTTAGAGTTGTGTCTAACCTCTGTTTTTTTTTCGTTATTAACTGTTGAATTTCAATTGAATCGAATAAAAATTATTTGTGGGTTAAAATCAGTTAATCGACAAACAAAATAGTGGCATGATAGACTTAATAATGCAAACAGTTAACATATTTCAGAATCGTATCTTTTTCTGCATATTGCTTTAGTAAATATTATTTTTATTTAAATTAAGTGAAACATTAAAAATGCTTCGCGTTCATTGCTCATTTCAATTTCATTTCAAAAATCTAATTAATATGTTTGATGTTGTTTTTGTTAATGATTGTGAAAGATAATGACATTGATGATAATCAATGTTGTTAAACACATTTTAATTAAATTCCAATTAGAAGGCATATTTTATATAGGCTGGTCAGAGAAAATACCAAAATATCGAACCCCCAAAACGTTTTATATTTCAAGTAAGAAACCATTAAACACAAGGATGCACTACTCAAAGGATGTTTTATATACGAGCTTGAACTTTGGGGTCATTTTAATTAGTTAAACAAAAGCGAACATTTTTTAGCTTGATTAATTTTTATTAATTGAGGAAGGGGGTTGTGTTCTGGTTAGGTACGAAGAATCAAATTAACAGTAAATAAAATTCAGTCGCCTTTTTTATTAGTAAAAACATTGTAAATTTGTCTAAATGCAAAGACCTTGAAGGGACTTGTCAAATTAATTTTTTTTTTTTTTGATTATAAATGCCAAAAAACGAAGAAAAATTAATAAAATTCGTTCATATTTAAATAATATTACGAAGAAAACATTATACCTAATGTATACGTAAAACAGTTCTTGCTTCATTAACATTAATTTCAACCAACCTAAAAAGTAGAAATTTAAAATAAAAATTTAAAATGAAGATAAAAAAAATGGAAAAGTGAAAAGCCGCATTTGTCAAATAAAATGTCCTTGATAGGACCAGCGCAGCAGTCTGGTTTTCGAAAGAATGGCGATTATAATCATTTATTTGATGCGGAAGCAATTAAAACAAATGTGTAAATTAATCATTTAAATTTTACTGTTCTGTCATTCTGCATACATTTCTTTTTAAATTGTAATAAATTTAATGTGCAAAAATTAAAAATTCTAATGATTTGCTTTGTACAAATGTCAAATATCAATCAAAATGAAACGATAGTAAATTAATATATCATACGTTTTTCCTTTTAGAAATGGAAATCATTCCAGAAGGAAGACATTTTCGTTTGGTGCAAGAATCTGAGCTACCTGGAATATTGGAGCATTTGGAAAAATATTTACCAGAGTCGTTAAAGGTATTTATACTAATAACATCACAGATACTTTTCTATATAATCTGAGAAGAACTGCTAAAACATCTTCGCTTATTGAACTATATTGTCAATGTAAAATATTCACCTCATCCATTCTTCCACCATTTTTCCACCTCATCTCCACAACAGCTTTAGTAGTTGTCATTTTGTATGGTATGTAATGCCTACTCTTGAGACATATCAGCCTACTGGACACTAACTAGATAACTCGTCCTTTGTGTAATGAAAGTAAAAATTGCATTTACTGGTTTGCGATAGACAAGTATAAATTTTTGTAAGTTGATCAGCGTGAAAGTTCACAATGATTAAACTCGATATCTCACAATAAGTAACTACTACTTGGCATATTTTAAGTAAAATAAAGTTGTTCACAATATCTGAATCTACTAAAATTCGTTGACAAATCATAATTTATCAATTAAGATTTTGCTTTGTTTCTAAAAAGTGATATAGTTGTGTCAGTTTTAAAACAAGCAAATATCTTTCCGCCAAAATATTCAATACATTAAAATCACAACCAAATTACATAGTAATTCTATAAAATTTATGTCAAGTCTGTTTTCAACACAATGAGAATCATAAATATAATATTTATAAAAAATGTTATAAAAAAAATAATTAGTGCTTGCATGTATCAGAATTACCATTAGAGAGATTGCGAAAAAAATTGGACTGTCGTGCGAAGCAGTTTGGACATAAAACAGAAGGCAACAAAATTTGTATCAAAACCGTTTTGGCTTAGTAACTGCACTTGGTGAATCGTAATATCACTGTCGCAATCATCCTATTCATTAAACATGTTACTCTGGGACTTTTTTTCATTAACTGAAATCGATAACTGATTTAGAGGACAACGTGATTAACAATAGATCCGATATAGGCAAACCATAGAAAGATGTTCAAACAGTGATTCTTAGAATGAAAATTAAAATGGTGTAATATCAAGGGCAAAGTGTTTTGAAGATAATCTAATGATCTCGAAGATTGCAGCACTTGAATCTCGCAACTCTTTGGTTATTGAAATATCTTGAATTTTCCCTGTATTACCTTATAGTGCAACTTTGAAAATTAACTACAGCGGAGAATAAAACTTTTGCTAATTATTTTCCTCTCTCTAGCATTCTTAATATTCTATTTCTCACTTATACTCAATTACAAGAATTTGCGAAAATACTCTGTGTTCCTCAGAATATGTTGCACTGTACTAAATTATCAACTAAATCATGAAATTATTCGAGATAATGTTGTTTTTCAACAAGAAATGGATGAGTGGGTCAACAAATTGTCAATTGGAAATGTGTCTCGGCTGAACAACTTGAAATCGATTCAGAAAATCGATCGGAAAAATGAAGCCAGTGTGATTACACCTCAGGGCTCAGGAAAATTGCATAAAAAATAAGGCAGTTACAATGAATCTTAAATGCAATAAAAAGTAAACTGAAATAAGCATAATATAATCATAATCATAAAGTATGATTGCAATTATGTTATTATAAATAAAAATATGTATTCATATTATTATTTAATAAACTTTATGTTAATGTCTTATTTGATTTAAAAATGTTATATGCACTAAAAAAATTGTACTCGATTATTGCAACACTCTCGAATTCTTTTAGTTGTAATCTCCGAGGTCGTACTGTACATATAAAATGCAATGGAACAACATACTCTTTAAAGTACGCCAATTATATATGTATATGTAGCTTGAAGTCTCTAGTTTTTTTTTGTATTTGAATAAAATTTACTTAAATTTACTTAAATAACAATATGTTTGGCATGAATTTCATCCGCATAGTCCTTTGACTAAAATTCAAAAGATCTATTGACTAGAATTTGTTAATATGCACAAGTAATAAATATTTTTCATTCTTTTAAAAAAATATTCGATTTTAATAATAGATTTTACTTTTCATTCTGTAATCGTTACTTGCAATTGCATGTTTTCTGTGTCATAACACCCCACCTTTCGACACTTGCACCATATTTATTTTATTGTTTTTTGTGACTTAAGCAACTTAACTCACTACGTTATTTTGCATTAAAATTTTTTTTTTTTCCAATTTTCCAACAATTACCCATGTAAAGCACAATATTAATATTGTTTCTACGATTGTGTAGTATACTATTCTATAAATCTACAGTTATTTTAATAATGTTCTAACCTAAAATATTTGGTGGCTTTTTTGTTTCTTTGGTTTTGCTTTTTAAGAACGCATCACGTGTATGGATTGCGCATTATGAAGTCGCGTGCTCCAAGGTTGCCTAGTATTCATTTACTTCCCTTCATTTATTTTTTTCTATTTAATATTCATACAAATTTATATTGACGTATGGACATACATCTATATACATATTGTATACCGGCAAATGCATAATCTATATATGTTTATGCATTCATATATTGGACCTTACTTTTTACTGTAAGTACAAAAGTACAAAAGGTTAAAATACTATAAGCGCCTATATTTATTTTCACTTTTATTCACATTTAAGGTTTGTTTACATACACCTGCTACACGTATAGACATTTGTATATATCCAATGTAATATGGTTATGTTATGGAATATATGCATAATTCAGTTAAGGTATTTTATGAATATCATATTCACTTACAGAAATATAAGCTGGACTAACTAGCAGTTTTAGGAATGTTACAACTTTAGATATTTTTAATATTGTATAAAAAATTGCATTTAATAAAATTGTTTGGATCTTTAAATTCAATTACACACACCATTTGATCAAAAAAGAACGAAAAATGTTAATTTTTAATAATTTTCTTTATTATCGCTTTCAAAGTACTCTCCTCCTGCGCCAATACATGCATGCCAACGCTTGATCCAATTTTCCATACAAGTTTTATAGGCCGCCGAAGGTATGGCCTTTAGTTCACGCAGCGAATTCTCTTTTATGGCAATGGCAATTTCAGTCGGGGGCGGGGGAAGAGGAAAAAGTCTCACGAGGCCATATCTGGAGAGTACGGTGCTTGGTTGATAATATTGGTGGAGTTTTTGGCCAAAAACTGCGACACAACCAACGCTGTGTAAGCCGGTGCGTTATCGTGGTGTAAAATCCATGAGTTTTCCTTCCATAAATCTGGCCTCTTTTTACGAATGGCCTCACGCAAACGACGCATAACGGTCAAATAATACTTCTTATTGATCGTTTGACCATTTGACCGTCCGGAAGGAATTCATAGTGCACCACACCACGAATATCGAAGAAAACAGTTAACATAACCTCGGTTTTGGACCGACTTTGGCGTTCTCTTTTCGGTTTCGGCTTACCTTCGAAGCACCATTCGGTCGATTGTTGTTTGGTGGGCATGTCAAATTCATAGAGTCATGTCTCATCACCAATTATTCACCGTTCGATGAATGTGGGGTGACTATCTGCGTTGGAAATCATCTTTTTGGCCACATCACAACGACGCTTTTTTCAATGAAATTCAGCTAAAAATCGCCACACGAAAATTTTTCGACTTTTCGAAAACTAATCGTTTTTATTCATCAACATAGTCCCCTTTTAGGGAGATACAATCATTCCAACGCTTCTGCAATCTTTCGATACCGCCTTTGTAAAACGATTTTTCTTTGCCTTCAAAATAGGCGTTAGTTTCGGCGATTACTTTATCATTTGAGCCAAATCTCTTACCACGGAGCATCTTTTTGAGGTCTGCGAAGAGTCGGTAGTCGCTGGGGGCCAGATCTGGAGAATACGGTGGGTGCGGCAGCACTATACTAGTAACTTCAAAAGACATTTCAGTTACACATCACAATACACTATGTTTAACACTCAACATCTAATTTAATTTCACTCACTGTGAGAATTTTAATATAATCCAAAATAAAATAGATTAATTTTATTTAATATATATATTATATTAAAATAACTCACAAGTACTACACCGCATCTGCATCGGTAACACACGGAATGCATCTGAAATTATTATTACAATTAACAAAAAAAAAAATAAAGAAATGTATTTAAATAAGTGAAGAATAAGTGAAGGTGTGTATAACACCTTATTTATTCACTATTTATATATTTAATTTTTGTTTATTTTATTAATTGTTTTATTAATATATATATATATATATATATATATATTATATATATAATTTAAGAAATAGCTGCGTTCAGCAACATGATCCGCTCAATGATCTGAATCATCTTTGCTGAAACGATACGGATCACGTTTGAAAATAATTGGCAACGCATGAAATACGACAGTTGGGTTTGTGTACAAAATTTTTTGATTTTTGTGAATAATTTTGGCGCTAAAAAAATAAGTGAGAAAATTTTGAATACAAAAAATCTAAAAAATGGAAAATAAATAAAATCTGTTGAAATGTCTAAAGTATGAAATGTAAGTTTTTATTTAGTATTTACTTAAAAACTTCAATTTAATTCTATAGTAAATAAATGGAAATTGCAGATTTTATTAGAATTATCGAGCAAAACTGACTCCTCTATTTTCTTTTTAAACACTAGTCCAAGTGTATTAAGCGCAAGGGATGAAGTGCATCAGCATGGATATAGTGGAAATTTTATGGAAACGATCAATAATTCTTCCGTTAAAGATTATTTGATTGGTATTTGCGCATAAAAAATACAATTGCTATATATTAATTATGTTTCATATTTTAATAAATTTGTTAATAAAATCCAATCAGCAAATACAAAATAACCGTGGTGGTCACAACTGAACGAGAGCAATGAAGGAAATTTACATATTTTTGTGGTATATGGCAAATATAAATACTTTTCGCGAATTTGATATTTGTTTTGGCATATCAAAAGCTTCTGTATGGAGAATAATTGAAAGAACTAGTGATTAGCTTATAATTAGGCTTATTTCAAAAGGAAGCATAAATATAGCTTAAACTTGCAAGCAGTTTGGAATGGTTTTTTTATAAACGTGTATGTTGGAGAGCCTGTTTCCTTATGTATTGTTCTGTTTTAATTAAATAAATGT